AGGGGATACTCCAGGTCCTTCCTCACATCCAATCAGGAAAGTCTTCCTCACCACGAGACCAGAGGACAGGAGAAACATCCTCCCATTAATCACCACCAGAGGGGTATTGCACAAAACCAGGATAAGGGATTAACCCGGGATATGTTGGTTATCCTGGCTGAATTTAGCCTCAAGTCGGTTGCATGAAAGCAGGTTAAACTTATCCCGGCCAGGTTACTATGGTGATTTATTCTCTGCAGTTAGCCTGCTCCAGACCAGGCTAACAGCCAGGCTAACAGCCAGGCTAACATTAATCCTAGTGATTCTCCTGTATTTCCACCGTCAATCCTGTGAGGAATTAATGTGTTTTACAGCATGTCCATGGTCTTTCTAAGTATATTACATCATTTTAATTATCCTGCATTAAAATATTACATATATGTTGTAATTTCTTATTCCATTTAAATCTGTTGGCTGTTTGTAATTGCAACAGTCTTTTTATATTGATTCAAGTGGTAGTATTATTACTCAGGACAAGTGTTATATTGCTATGCTAATGAAGACTGCTTGTCCAAATGCATAAATATGTGTTTATTGCAGTAATTGAGATTACAAAACACAGCTGATGAAGTTGCAAAGGTGTTTTCAATGAAATCTGTGACAAGGGCAATATATATATATATTATGGCATACCGTTTAAGAGATTAATCTTTGAATATATAAAATTAATCTTTGAATATATAGAATGAAACTTGACTGGTCATCAAGGCACTGCTGCCATCTTGTAGAAGTGAGAATGAGTCAGTCAGGAACCTTGTGGCAGCAATACTGAGCAATGAGGACATTATTAACTCATTGGTAAGTGCTTGTACGGGCCAAAATCCTTCCCATAGTACCCGTGCCCAATACCGTTCTCCTGACGAAGAAGTTCACTCTTTTAATGGTGGCAGGCCGACTACAACAGGCCTCAGGCTAAATCCTGACAGAAAAAGCAAAAAAGTTTTCCAGTTTAAGAAAGTATTGTAATATTTCAACTGATGCCATTTTGTAAAAGCAGCTAATTCAGAAGGCTATCACTTTGATGAAAAGGATACAACTAGGTTTTCAATTTCATTCAGTATTCTCACATTTCTATCAGTATATCCAAGATTCATTCCATATGTCCAAGATTCATTCCATATATTCAAAGATTCATTCTATATATTCAAAGATTCATTCCATATATTCCAAGATTCATTCCATATGTCCAAGATTCATTCCATATATTCAAGATTCATTCCATATATTCAAGATTCATTCCATATATTCAAAGATTCATTCCATATATCCAAGATTCATTCCATATATTCAAAGATTCATTCCATATATTCAAAGATTCATTCCATATATCCAAGATTCATTCCATATATCCAAAGCTTCATTTCCTAAACGGCATGCCATAGTATATATATATATATATATACACACATATACATATATATATATATATATATATATGTGTATATATATGTATATATATATATATATATATATTATTCACAGCTGTTCCCTCTTCATAATGGCTTGCCCTTTCTTGGAGGATGTACTGGATGAGGAAGCCCTAATCCTCAGACGAGCATTTAGTCATGAAAGAGTCTTCTGGGACAGGTCAGACCCATTGGCCGTTGGAGAGGACTATCTCATTGAGAGATACAGATTCTCAGGTGATGGACTAAGATATTTATGTAGGCTGCTGGGTCCAAAAACACAGCACCAGACGGCAGGAAGCCATGCTCTCACTGTACCACAGATGGTCTGTGTTACATTGAGATGTTTTGCAAGTGGGAGCTTCCTTTATTCTGTTGGGGATGCAGAGAACCTCAATAAAGGAACCATTTTCAGTATGCCGTGAACCCGCACTTATCCCGACTATCTACACCTGGCTTAACATAGCCGCACCTTTTAATCCTGGCTCCGCAAACGTGCAACCGATTAAGCCAGGATGCGCCGAGCAGGCTAAGTCAAGCCGCGCTTGCTCACTTATCCTGGATTTCTTTATCCTACTTTTGTGCAATACCCCACTGCTCCACATATAGCGTAGCAGCAAACAAACACATGAAGAACACAAACATGCTCCAGGAGTATAAAATAATCTCAGCCTACAAGAGGAACAAAAACCTAAAGACTATCTGGTCAAAAGTAGACTACCAGAACTTAACACAATTCCTCAACAAGCCCCGAATGACTTTAAACCAAATAAAACAATTAAAAACCTTCCAAACAACCACATCCCCCATTAAACAGACCCTAACCACCAACACACACACACACACACTGTGTATATGTCATAAAGTGTAAACACTGTGGCATCTCATACGAAGGAGAAACAGGCAACACCATTAAAACTACACTGGCACAACACATATACAACATTAAAAATCACACAGACACACACACGCACACATTTAGTAGCACACACACACACACACACACACACACACACTAGTGGCACGCTTTATTAACCATGGTCTAGGGTCATTAGAAATAACAGGAATACAACACAACATAAATTGGACACCGGTGGAGAGGAAAAAAGCTGAAAGACACTGGATCAGAAAACTGAACATCAGATTCCCCCACGGACTAAATATTAGAAATTATTAAAAACACACCAGAGCACAAACTTTATCTTTCTCAGAATAAAAACAACAACAAGAATGGCCAGCACACCCTGAACCCAGACCTTAACCCTAACCCAGGAAATCCCCACAAAGGATACCTTGGGAAAAAGGACTTCTCTTCCTGGTTCAGATCAATTTATAGATAGATTTATTAGTAATGTTTATTTTGTACAGATCAATATATTGAGAGATTTATTAGTAATGTTTATTTTGTACAGATCAATATATTGAGAGATTTATTAATAATGTTTATTTTGTACAGATCACAGGTCAGTGCTCAGAGTGTCTTTCTGTTCCTTATAAGGAGCTGTTCCTCCAACATGGCCGACCTCTGGCAGAACGCCATGGACCACGCAGTAGCTGCCGCACGAAGGGCCGGACAGGTCAGAGTATTGATCAGGTGTATTGGTATATGTATTGATCAGGTGTATTGCTGTGTGTATTGATCAGGTGTATTGGTATATGTATTGATCAGGTGTATTGCTGTATGTATTGATCAGATGTATTGGTATCTGTATTGATCAGGTGTATTGGTATCTGTATTGATCAGGTGTATTGGTATTTGTATTGATCAGGTGGTGCGTGAGGCTCTGCAGGATGACAGGAAGGTGATGACGAAGAGTTCATCCGTTGATCTGGTGACACAGACCGATCAGAAGGTGGAGCAGCTCATCATCCAATCAGTGAGGGAGAAATTCCCCAAACACAGGTAAGAAGCCCCACCTCCCTCAGCGTGTGTGTTATTGATAATCGATGCGTTCCACAGATCAATACTGAAACATATGACCATGGGTGTGTGTCAGGTTCATAGGGGAGGAGTCTGTGGCTGCTGGTGAACCTTGTGTCCTGACTGACGGACCCACCTGGATCATTGACCCCATTGACGGGACCACCAACTTTGTTCACGCGTGAGTTTCCTGAAACACGCTGAGATCATCACCACATTTTTTAAAGGATCCCATCCCTTCAGATTCACACTCCGTCCAGTCCAGTTGAAGAGGGTTTAAAAGATCAGACCAGAGTCTATAGAACCCTGTTAACACATTATTAATCTTTAAAGACACCGCTGGATTGGACTAGATTCAGAACTTGTTGTCCCAGTCAGGCACTTTTACCCCTAAACATTGAAAAACATCGAAGTGTCTCTTTAACAACCTCCTGATGTCTTTAATATCTAACAGATTTCCTTTTGTTGCTGTTTCCATCGGATTCTCTGTCAACAAGCAGGTGAGTTCAATTCAATTCAATTCAATTCACTTTTATTTGTATAGCACCAATTCAGAACAGAAGTTATCTCAGGACATGTTTCAAAATAGAGCAGGTCTAGACCGAAGTCCTTATAACATTATTTACAGAGACCCAACAGTACCACCATGAGCAAGACCTTGGAGACAGCGGCAAGGAAAAACTTCCTTTTAAGAGGCAGAAACCTTGGACAGACCCCGGCTCTAGGTGGGTGGGAGAGAGAGACAGAGAGGGAGAGTTTAACATCCAGGTTTTTATGTCCTTAAGACATGTTTGTAATCTAGATAACTGATTAATTTCATCGGGCTTGATCGATAGATATAACTGTGTATCATCTGCATAACAGTGAAAGTTAAAGGAGTGATTCCTAATAATGTTGCCTAAAGGAAGCATAGATAAAGTGAATAGTATTGGTCCAAGTATAGAACCTTGTGGAACTCCATGACTAACTTTAGTATTTATGAAGGATTCATCATTACTGTGTACAAACTGAGGGCGATCTGATAAGTATGACTTAAACCAGCTTAGTGCGGTTCCTTTAATTCCAATTTGATGCTCAAGTCTCTGTAATAGAATATTATGGTCAATGGTGTCAAATGCAGAACTTCTCAGTTTGTACATGTTAACGATGAATCTTCCATAAATACTACTGCTATGCTATGCAGATGATACGCAGTTATATACTGTACTGTACCCTACTGTAAATGGTAAATGGACTGTACTTGTATAGAGCCTTTCTAGTTTTCACTCGAGTCTGCCACTCAAAGCTCTTTAACACTACACTACATTTATACACCACCCTTCCGATTAGTGGACAACCCGGTGTACCTCTGAGCCACAGTTGCCCCTTAACTGTACCCTACTGTACTATGCCCAATTCAATTCAATTAAATTTTATTTGTTATCTCAGGACACTTTTCAAATAGAGCAGGTCTAGACTGAACTCCTTATAACATTATTTACAGAGACCCAACAATTGCTCTACTGCCCTGTAACTTACTGTACTGTACCTAATATAACTTACGGTACCATACTTGTTCTCCTCCTCCAGATGGAGTTTGGTGTGGTCTACAGTTGTCTAGAAGATAAGATGTACACAGCGAAGAGAGGGAAGGGAGCGTTCTGTAATGGAGAACCACTGCAGGTTTCCAACCAGGAAGGTCAGTAACTGATAACACAACAAACAGGATGTACTCATTAAAATCCACAGATCCTATCAATTTCAAGACTTTGATCTGGAAGCACAAAGAGTTTAATTGAACTAAGCAACAGTAATAAATGTTAATGACTGTCAATAACTGTTAGTAACTGTTATAACAACTAAAATAACTAACATTAACTGTAAATAACTCGCAATAACTGTAAATAACTAACAATAACTGTAAATAACTCGCAATAACTGTAAATAACTAACAATAACTGTAAATAACTCGCAATAATTGTAAATAACTCGCAATAACTGAATTCATGTTTCGTGGCGACACGCCCCCTCACCGCAGTCAACACATATCAGGAACAATGTGTTTTGCATTTTATAAGTAAATTTCAGCTGGATCTGATCATCCTGCTAGGAGTAGAACATGAAAGCATAAAATGTGATACTTCCTGTTGCCAAAGTTCTTCATTTTAAAGAGCGCCACCTAGTGGCGGTGGCCTGAAATTGTACATGATGGCTAAGGAAGACATGGGGAACTATGGACCCAAGGTTGGTGTCAATCGGACATACCAATGTGGAAAAATACTCCACTTCCTCTTTTGAACAAAAATCCACAGGAAGTGCTAATTTTATAACATGCTTATATTTAGAAATATCAAAATTCTTTCAATTAGTTTATTAGGACGGTCCCCAGATGCTACGTGCAACATTTTGTGCGGATCGGACAAAGCACATAGGAGGAACACGAAAAAGTAGTTTACGGACATTTTGTGCTCTAGCCGAGAAAAAACTTGGGGGGGGTAATGGGTGTGGCCTATATGGGGAGATTCAGCCCCATTCACTGAACGCGTGGATACAAGTTTTTTGAATGTGTGACAAACTATACAAAAGTTATTAGCCTAAACGTACTTTAAAATATAAAACGTGATACTTCCTGTTGCCACTAGGTGGCGCTCTGACTATTACTGAATATTATCACATAGACGTGTTCAGGGCGGGACTCTTATCGAACATGTGAAGTTTCGTTGCAGTCGGATCATGTACGCAGAAGTTATGACGAATCCCTCTTTTTATGGCGAAGGATCGAAATTGCACGACACGGGACGCCACGCCACATCCACGATGTTCAACGAAAACAACTGGGGAGCACAACCTTTAATAGTGAATGTGTTTAGATGGCTGTGTCCAAATCTGAAGTCAGTCCGATAAATGCCCTAGGAGGAGTTTGTTCAAATACAACGTGTGTAAATCGCCAAAAATGGCCACAAAATCCAAAATGGCCGACTTCCTGTTGGGTTTGAGGTATGGGTCCTTGAGACTTTTCTGCTTCTTTTATCATCATACACATGCGTACCAATTTTCGTACATGTGGGCCTTACGTGTCTTGGGGGCTGATTCTGGGGGGCATGGCTTAGCCGACAATGTCATATCGGTATTTTCGCTACATTTGAATTTTGCGCAAATTTTCATGACTTTTTGAGAATGCTGCGGGGGTTAAATATGCGGTCAAAGAGGCAGCAAATAATAATAATTCCAACAGGAACAATAGGGTCTTGCACTTGTCAGTGCTCGATCCCTAATTAGGGATGCACCGATCCACATTTTTTCACTTCCGATCCGATCCCGATACCTGAATTTGGATACCAGCCGATACCGATACTATTCCGATACCAGAGCTCTGTTTTCTTTAATATTATTATTATCATTATTGTTGATTTTATATGAGATAATATGAATAAACTCCTCAACAGGCAGTATGATATGTACGTATGTATGCATGTATGTCCCAAAAGGAAACTTGAGGTAAGTATAAGGTCAGAAAAGGAAGACAGAAAAACAGGAAATCCTGTTAACAGGAAAAATCCCATTCTGAAAACAAATATGCAACTGTAAGGGTTTCAAATTGATTGTCATGTCAGTATTTATTAAATTCCCCAAATGTCAAATATTTCAGTCTTGAAATATAAGAAAAGTGCAATAAGTGTAAACATCTCCAGAAGTGATTCCTGACAGCTCGCCTAAAAAATCCTCGTGCTGTTTCGTGTGGAGCTTTTTTAAATGTTTGATTGCGTTCGTAGTGTTGTACGACGCGAGGGCGCTTCCCAGCTCTGAATTACGGCTTTGCAAACATTGCATTTTGCTGTCTTGCTCTGCGGTGTTTCCAGTGTAAAGTATTTCCACACAGCGGACATGTTGGCTAGCCACAATGCTGCTCAATGCTATCCTGCTAGCTGGCTGCAAACTGCTGAATGGATTTCCTGAGTGGGGGCGTGTCTCATAACTCTGTGTCTCATTGAGCCGCACCTCCGTTCAGGAAATCCATTCCACAGTTTGCAGCCAGCTAGCAGACTGGCCGGCAGGAATCACCTGTGGAGTCAGTCAGCAGACAACGTTAACGCTCATGGCTCATTGATATCGGAAATCTGCGCAGGTTGGATTGGGAAATTCCGATACGTGAATTACACTGGTATCGGTCCCGATACCGATACGGGATCGGATCGGCCCCATCCCTAATAATAATAATTCCAACAGGAACAATAGGGTCTTGCACTTGTCAGTGCTCGATCCCTAATAATATCAGTAATTTAGCAATGGCAGTCAAGCAGGACCATGGCAGGAGGCTCCACCAGGATCCATGAGAACCTGCGAGACGAGAAAGCACAAGAACTCCGGGGAAGAAGTGAAGTTAGTAACATGCATTAATGAGACATGAATGAGTGCAGAAAGAGAGAGGAAGAGAGGAGCTCAGTGCATCATGGGAAATCCCCCGATAGTCTAGGCCAGGCCAGGCCTGGCCAACCTGTGGCTCCCGTGCCACATGCGACTCTTTGCCTGGTTACATGTGGCTCTTACATTCATATTGAATTTTGTGTTGTGTATAGCCCCTTTCGCACAACCCAAAAAAACCTATGTATACCCGCTAACACCAGATATTAATCGGCTTCACCACCGATAGGCATTGATGTGAACGTCACACCCGGGTTAACCCGCTAATTTGCGCCATGACGGAGGCAATGAAGGCTCGACTCCTCCGTCGGTAACTGCTGGCCTTTTTGGTCGACATGCTGTGTCACTTGGACAGACTGAACCTGACGCTGCAGGGTAAGTTAAAAATGCTGCCTGACCTGTGAGTGTGTTTGCGTCTGTCAAAAGGGAGATTTAGCGCATTTTCACGCTCTGCTAAAAGCCAACAGGCAAGTCACTATCTCCGCCCTGAATAAGCAAACAGCCAGATATGCAATACTGGTTGAAAACCTGCACGAAAGCTTTGTGACCCGGTTCCGTGATGTACAACTGAAAAGGCCACACATCACGTTCCTCGTTGACCCTTTTAATGCGGAGACGGACTGTTTGAAATCCCTGCTAGTCACAGATGAGGCTGCGGCTGAGTTGGGGATGATAAATCTTTCTGAGGAGGACCAACTGAAACCTGCTTTAAGGGAAGGGACCATTGAGTTCTTGAAAAGTGTGCCAATGGAAAAATACCCCATGTCAAACGGGCTGCGCTCAAGATACTGTCAATGTTTGGGTCAACATACGTCTGCGAGTCTCTGTTTTCTACCCTGAAACATGTGAAATCAAAGCATGGATCTGTTCTGACTGACATACGTGAAAGAATTGCTTCTAGTGGCAACAACGGAATACAAGCCAGATTTGAAGAGGATTGTTCAAAGCAAGGAATGCCATAAGTCCCACTAAGCAAAATGCATAGTAAGAGAAAAACGCTATTGTAAATTGTTATATTTTTGTTTGTGGACTGCACTGAGTTTGTGTGTGTGAAACATTGCACACAATGTTCATTGTTGAAAATGACTGGCCTGTGGTCTTTGTACTGTTCCAATTCTGTCATTATTATGTTGGTGTGTGACATTTATAGTAAATCTGGCTGAACAGAGGTCTCTGAGTGTGTGTGTGTGTGTGTGTGTGTGTGTGTGTGTGTGTGGGGCCTATAGCAGCATCACTAAGGGATGGTTCAGGACTCACCTGATCCAGCCCTAACTATAAGCTTTATCAAAGAGGAATGTCTTAAGCCTACTCTTGAATGTGGTGAGGGTGTCTGCCTCCCGAACCACAACTGGAAGCTGGTTCCACAGGAGAGGAGCTTGGTAACTGAAGGCTCTGGCTCCTGTTCTACTTTTAGAGACTATAGGAACCACAAGTAGCCCAGCATTCAGAGAACGTAGTGTTCTAGTGGGGTAATAGGGTACTATGAGCTCTTTAAGATATGAAGGGGCCTGACCATGAAGAGCTTTATAGGTGAGGAGGAGGATTTTAAATTCTATTCTACATTTTACAGGGAGCCAGTGCAGAGTAGCTAGTACAGGAGAGATGTGATCTCTTTTTCTAGTTCCTGTCAGTACTCGTGCTGCAGTGATCTGAATTAATTGGAGCGTCTTAATGGGCTTATTGGGGCAACCTGATAATAAAGAGTTGCAGTAATCCAGCCTTGAAGTAACAAATGCATGGATTATTAGGGACCGAGCCAGCAATCGCTGGAGGTCCCTACTGTATTTGCTATGTTTCTTCTTCTTCTTACATATTATTATTTTTATCCCCCTTTGACTGCATTTTTGCCCCCTGAACATTTACGAAAACTGTATTTTATTTGGCAAAGTGGTCAGGCCTGGTGAAAATGGAGATATTCTATGCGTCGCTTTCAGGTTGGCCACAAGGTGGCGCTACTATCATACAAAATGCATTTAGGCTAATAACTTCTGCATAGTTTGTTGCACATTCAAAAAACTCATATCCACGCGTTCGGTGAATGGAGCTGAATCTCTCCATATAGGGCACGCCCACTTCCGCCTATAATTTTTCTCTGCTAGAGCGCGAAATGTCCATACACCACTTTTCCGTGTTCCCCCCATGCACTTTGTCCCATTAGCACAACATTTTTAACGTAGCATCTGAGGACCCTCATAATAAAAAAGTGATTAAAAGAATTTTGATATTGCAAAAAAACATTGGCCGATTGACACCAAACTTGGGTCCATAGTTCCACACGTCTTCCTTTGCATTGTGCACAATTTCAGGCCATCGCCACAAGGTGGTGCTCTTTAAAATGAAGAAGTTTATACCTCTACAACGGTATGTGTGATTAAGATTAAACTTGGTACAATTCTTCCCCATGGCTCTCTGAGGCTCCCTAAAAAATGTGTCTACAATCCACCACTAGGTGGCAGTCTGGTGGCATGGTAAATCACTGTGCAAAGACCGTAATAGTTATGAATATGAAATTTACAGGGCACGTGTAGAGTGGTGCCTGAAGCTCACATACCAAAAATCGTGTTTGTAGCGCCCCCTACAGGATAAAAAAAAGCAGCCCCGGCGCCACGTTTCACCGATATGTACGAAACTCGGTAGGCACGTGTAACATGCCGGGACGTACAAAAAGCCTCTTGGACCCATACCCGAAACCCCACAGGAAGTCGGCCATTTTCATTTTCATTTTCACTTTTGGCAAACTTTTCACGTTGTATTTGAACGAACTCCTCCTAGGGAATTTATCGGATATGCTTCAAAATTTGTGAGTATAGTCAAAAAATGGTGCTGATTATTCCGTGCGCATTTTCGGTGAATTTTTCACCTTGTATTTGAATGAACTCCTCCTAGGGAATTTATCGGATCTACTTCAAAATTGGTCAGTACAGTCAAAAAATGGTGCTGATTAAAAGTTGTGCTATTTGAGACTGTACGTTGAACGGCGTGTCTGTGGCGTGAGGGCAAAGTTGGCCACTTTGAATTCTGTCGTCATACAAACTGATTGAAAGTTGAGCTATTTGTGACTGTACATCAAACCGCGTGCCAGTGACAACTTGTCGATTTCAGCAGATTCGCCATAAAATAGTACTCACAACTTCAGTGTGCAGTGTCCAATCTCCAATAAACTTAATATATTCTGAAACAGTTTTGCCCTGAACACGTCCTCATAACTTCAGCGGACGTGGTCCAATCTCAATGAAACTTCACGTGTTTGATAACAGTCTCGCCTTGAACATGTCTACATGACAACATTCAGACATTGTGATAGCGCCACCTACTGGCAACAGGAAGTAAGCGCTGCGTGGCAATTTTGAGCTAATCTACGTGAAATTTCACGTTTTGGTCCGTACTTGTAAGTCCCGCTCAACGCTGCTTGCATTTTTTCTGCATCTGCATCTAACATCTAACCCTAACCACCTGCATCTGCATCTAACCCTAACCACGTAAATGAAAGAAGGCAGTCCTGGAGGTTTGCTTTATGTGGGAATTAAATGACATGTCCTGATCAAAGATAACTCCAAGATTCCTGACAGTGGTGCTAGAGGCCAAGGTAATGCCATCTAGAGTAACTATATCTTTAGACAATGAGTCTCTAAGGTTTTTGGGGCCAAGTACAAGAATTTCGTTTAACATCAGAAGCTCATCCAGGATTTTATGTCCTTGAGACATGTTTGTAATTTAGATAATTGATTAATTTCATCGGGCTTGATTGATTGATATAACTGCGTATCATCTGCATAGCAGTGAAAGTTAATGGAGTGATTCCTAATATTGTTGCCTAAAGGGAGCATATATAAAGTAAATAGTATTGGTCCAAGTACAGAACCTTGTGGAACTCCATGACTAACTGTAGTATTTATTGAAGATTCATCGTTAACATGTACAAAGTGCAAAAAAAAAGTATGACTTAAATAAATAACTCGTAACAACTAACAATAACTGTAAATAACTCGCAATAACTGTAAAAAAACTGTAAATAACTAACATTACCTGTAAATAACTAACATTACCTGTAAATAACTAACATTACCTGTAAATAACTCGCAATATCTAACAATAACTGTAAATAACTCGCAATAACTGTAAATAACTGCATCAAACTGTTATAAGCCTTTACTGTTGTTTTTTTGTTGTCAGATATTAAACAGTCAATCATCGCCACAGAGTTCGGATCCAGCAGAGACCCTGAAGCTGTCGACAAAATCTTTTCCAGCCTGAGGAACATCCTGTGCATCCCTGTTCACGGGTAATATTACTGAAACTACTGATAGTAATACCACTGATACTGATAGTAATACCACTGATACTACTGTAATACCACTGATACTACTGTAATACCACTGATACTGCAGCAGTGATGCACCGATCCACATTTTTTCACTTCTGATCCGATCCCGATACCTGAATTTGGATATCTGCCGATACCGAAACTATTCCGATACCAGAGCTCTGTTTGCTTTAATATTATTATTATCATTATTGTTGATTTTATGAGGCTGAAATAAACTCCTCTCAACAGGCAAGTATGATATGTACTAGGGATGCACGATAACCTTTTTTTTTAAACCGATACCGATAACTTTCAGCTCCTAAAGGCCGATACCGATAACATATATATATATGATCATGACCTAAGATCGTGACATTAATACTATGAACAAACCCCAAAACACTTTTGACTCTTTAAATGGAGATATTTATTTTTTCCAATGAAAAACTATTGGCAAGCCTCTCAAAAAAAAAATAAAGGCTCCTTGAACTGATGCAAATACATGCATCGGGATTACAAACTGAAAAAGTGCATTACAGAAGTTCAAAAACATATATATAGAAAATTGATGCACTGACACAAGTTAGTTTCAAACATTTCTATGTAAACACAATCTGAAAAGTGCATTCCTCAATAACAATAAATAAAATGTGCATAATGCACTGACACAAGTTACACTTGTCTGTGTAAACAAACTGAAAAAGTGCATTCCATAGTAACAAAACATTAAGTTTAAATGATTTTGGCTTATGGTTCCATTCAAATGAATATATTATAAATATATATATATAAATTCCCTGTTCCCACGTTTGCTTTTCGTTCTTTCGGCCTTTTTAAGTTCATGTTTCTATTGTTTATGTGTAACATGTGGAAAAATACTGTGGATATCAATTCAAGTAAGCAACTACCAAAATTATGACCGAGTTAACGAGTTCTTTTCCGACATCCCAGTCAGAAAGAGTTCTTCTGATTATGCCAACGTCACTTGAACGCAGCATTCACTGCAGGCTATTCAGGTCTCATAGTGAGAGCGGGGCACTGCCGTGCTGACAAAGTTATATATGTTATCGGGGCTATTCATCATGATATCGGACTTATCGGAATGACGTAATAATTTCCTGTTATCGGCCCGATAACTATTGTGCACCCCTAATATGTACGTATGTATGCATGTATGTCCCAAAAGGCAACTTGAGGTAAGTATAAGGTCAGAAAAGGAAGTCAGAAAAATAGGAAATCCTGTTAACAGGAAAAATCCCATCCTGAAAACAAATATGCAACTGTAAGAGTTTCAAATTTATTTTCATGTCAGTATTTATTAAATTCCCAAAATGTCAAATATTTGAAATATAAGAAAAGTGCAATAAGTGTAAACATCTTACACCACACACACACACACACACACACACACACACTAATCCCTTTAGCTTTCACGTTGTCTGCCTGGAGTTTACCTTGTTTTTGGAATGACTCCAGAAGTGATTCCTGACAGCTCCTTTTGTCTTTCTGCCCCCTGGCTAAAAAATCCTCGTGCTGTTTCGTGTGGTGCTTTTTTAAATGTTTGATTGCGTTCGTAGTGTTGTACGACGCGAGGGAGCTTCCGCCTCTCTGAATTACGGCTTTGCAAACATTGCATTTTGCTGTCTTGCTCTGCGGTGTTTCCAGTGTAAAGTATTTCCACACAGCGGACATGTTGGCTATCCACAATGCTGCTCAATGCTATCCTGCTAGCTGGCTGCAAACTGTGGAATGGATTTCCTGAGCGGGAGCGTGTCTCATAACTCTGTGTCTCATTGAGCCGCACCTCCGTTCAGGAAATCCATTCCACAGTTTGCAGCCAGCTAGCAGACTGGCCGGCAGGAATCACTTGTAGAGTCATTTCAGCAGACAACGTTAAAGCCTGGTGGAGCCTCCTGCCATGGTCCTGCTAGATTGCCGTTGCCAATACTGTTGTTGCTATGCACCTGTCTGTCTGTCTGTCTGTCTCTCGCTCTCTCTCTCTCTGCCTCTCTCTCTCTCTCACCCCAACTGGTCGAGACAGACGACCACCCACCTAGAGCCGGAGGATCTGTCCTATGTTTCTGCCTTTTAACAGGCAGTTTTTCCTTGCCCTTGTCGCCAAGTGCTTGCTCCCGGTGGTACTGTTGGGTCTCTGTAAATAATGTTATAAAGAGTTCGGTCTAGACCTGCTCTATTTGAAAAGTGTCCTGAGATAACTTCTGTTATGAATTGGCGCTATACAAATAAAATTGAAATTGAATTAAAGCGCAGACATGGCTCATGGATATCGGATATCTCCGCAGGTTGGATCAGGAAACTCCGATCCGTGAATTGCGCTGGTATCGGTCCCGATACTGGATCGGATCAGCCCCATCCCTATACTGCAGTAATACCACTGATACTACTGTAATACCACTGATACTGCAGTAATACCACTGATACTGCAGTAATACCACTGATACTGCAGTAATACCACTGATACTGCAGTAATACCACTGATACTGCAGTAATACCACTGATTCTAATGTAATACCATTGATACTGCAGTAATACCACTGATACTGCAGTAATACTACTGCAGTAATACCACTGATACTGCAGTAATACTACTGCAGTAATACCACTGATACTGCAGTAATACCACTGATACTGCAGTAATACCACTGATACTGCAGTAATACCACTGATACTGCAGTAATACCACTGATACTGCAGTAATACCACTGATATTGCAGTAATACCACTGATACTGCAGTAATACCACTGATACTGCAGTAATACCACTGATATTGCAGTAATACCACTGATATTGCAGTAATACCACTGATACTGCAGTAATACCACTGATACTGCAGTAATACCACTGATACTGCAGTAATACCACTGATATTGCAGTAATACCACTGATTCTACTGTAATACCACTGATACTGCAGTAATACCACTGATACTGCAGTAATACCACTGATACTGCAGTAATACCACTGATACTGCAGTAATACCACTGATACTGCAGTAATACCACTGATACTGCAGTAATACCACTGATTCTAATGTAATACCATTGATACTGCAGTAATACCACTGATACTGCAGTAATACTACTGCAGTAATACCACTGATACTGCAGTAATACCACTGATTCTACTGTAATACCATTGATACTGCAGTAATACCACTGATTCTACTGTAATACCATTGATACTGCAGTAATACCACTGATTCTACTGTAATACCATTGATACTGCAGTAATACCACTGATACTGCAGTAATACCACTGATTCTAATGTAATACCATTGATACTGCAGTAATACCACTGATACTGCAGTAATACTACTGCAGTAATACCACTGATACTGCAGTAATACCACTGATACTGCAGTAATACCACTGATATTGCAGTAATACCACTGATACTGCAGTAATACCACTGATATTGCAGTAATACCACTGATACTGCAGTAATACTACTGCAGTAATACCACTGATACTGCAGTAATACCACTGATATTGCAGTAATACCACTGATACTACTGTAATACCACTGATATTGCAGTAATACCACTGATACTGCAGTAATACTACTGCAGTAATACCACTGATACTGCAGTAATACCACTGATACTGCAGTAATACCACTGATACTGCAGTAATACCACTGATTCTACTGTAATACCACTGATACTGCAGTAATACCACTGATATTGCAGTAATACCACTGATATTGCAGTAATACCACTGATACTGCAGTAATACCACTGATACTGCAGTAATACCACTGATATTGCAGTAATACCACTGATATGATACTGCAGTAATACCACTGATACTGCAGTAATACCACTGATATTGCAGTAGTAGTACTACTGTAAAAAACTAAAGGTAAACGTGTAACAGTGTACATTGCGTCTCCAGTGTGCGTGGTGCAGGAACGGCAGCAATCAATATGTGTCTGGTGGCGTCCGGTTGCGTCGAGGCATATTATGAGATTGGGATCCACGTTTGGGACGTGGCGGCCGGCTCGCTGATTGTCTCTGAGGCCGGAGGAGTCCTGATGGACGTGGAGGGTAATGATGATCTGAGTGTGTGTGTGTTTGTGTGTGCTGACTCACACAGAGACTGACGGTCTGTCTGTGTCCAGGAGGAGAGGTGGACCTGATGTCCAGGAGAGTCGTCGCTGCCAACAGCAGAACCATCGGCGAGAGGATTGTCAAACAGATCGACTCCTTCAGTCCGCCCAGAGACGACGCTTCATCACTGCACAAACACTGAATACACACCTGAAGGCCACAGGTGTTACACCGTGAGACATGAGTTAGAACGGTCACAGTTTGTTGATGAACACAGACTATACAGACTGATTGAGAAGGATGAAGTTAACGGGGACAAGGTACCAAAGGATGAGCACCAACTGAAAGTTAATGCGCGTTAATACATTTATACAGTCTGATGTGTAAAATAGAATCCACATTAAAAGTTTTAAAAGTCTACTCTTCTACTTCATTACAAATTCCACAATATGCAAATGTTTTCCTTCCAAATTATTTCTGATGTCATTAATCATGCTCCCAGGCCCCATCCCCCCAGAGAGAGGAAGCTGATACGTATTAAAATATTGAGATATTATTTATTGAATATATTTATTCAAACTGTTCAAGTGCAAAAAGAAACTAAAGCAGAGGGTTCCATACATGCTAACACATGCTAACACTGACACTGGATACTTAAATACTGAGCTTGTTAGCATTGTTAGCTCGTTAACATTCAGCTTGTTAGGGTGGGTATCAGTCTGACTGATTGGCTGCTTGCTCCTTGTTTGGTCCCTTTTCTTTCTTCTCCTGAAGTCTGTTTGATTCAATGGCTGTTTCCACGGCAACGACTGAGCCAATGGCTCACTGATGATGTCACTGGGATTTAGACAGGTGAGAACTTTTATTTTAGTCTGTTAGTTTTCATCGGCTTGGAAACCGACTGACCATGCCCATTTCAGTGATGTCACAGCAGATGTTCACCTGTTGTGACATCACAGGTAGGGGGTGTGGTCAGAAGTACAGTGTCTGCAACACGTCCACCTTGGACATGAAAATTATTGGTTACTACGATGGCTGCCATGTATGGAGTTGGCAGAGTCAGTCGCTCAACAGCAGGTGGGGAGGCGGAGCTCCAGGAGCCACAGCTGAGGTCAGAGGGCAGAGGTCATTGTTGAGTTTGAGTGGAGAGCGTCGCTGCTTCCTGAGAGGAACGCTATTGGTCAGAGTCTGAGGAGACAGACAGAATCCTGCAATGTGATTGGTTGAACAAACAGTTGGCGACAAACTCGTAATGAACTGTTAGTGGAACAAACAACTACTGTTAGTTTGTTAAGCATTAATGTTATAAACTGATATTTTCACATATAACATTTATTTTAGTTGGTGACCCTTTAACTATACTTCCTTTCTTCATTAAGGGCTTTTCAAATTAAGGTGTTTTTAAGAGGTTTAGTTTAGTTAATTAAGGGTTAATTAATGTGATTTTAACGGATTGTTGGGTTATAGTGACTCAGGATGATAGTGATGATGTCACTGACCATGCGGAGGCGGTGTGCGTACAGCGGCTCTGGTTCATCTGGTTTCCTAGTCGGTATGGTGATGTTCCAGCGCTGCAGCTCCGCCACCATCTCTGCTGGGCTGAAGAGGACGGCCGGGTCGGCACGGTAACGGTTTATCAGCTCCACCAAACGCTCCTTATAGTGCAACCTGTCGAACAGACGGGTGGAGACTACACAAATGCATCTGTACAGGTAAACGCTCCCAAGCCCCCACCACACTGACACTCGCCCGCAGACAGCCAACAGTTAGCCTTTCTCAGCCACTAGCTGAGCTAATGTTACGACATGTAACAGACTTTTTTACACTGGGCAGAGGTCAGTGTGTCACTGGGCGCAGTGGGCAGAGGTCAGTGGGAGTCTTACTGGCAGTATCCTCTGTATTCAGGTAGAGCAGGTCGTCCACATGGCTCCTCCCGTCTGCTGCCATCGTCTCTCAGCTCCAGAACCAAACACACTCCTGCAAAGGAACTGGCGTCAGTCAGACTGCAGAGAACAGATTCTGATTAGCACGTCAGGTAAAAATGTTCAAACCTGGGTCAGAAAAAGGTCTGGAAAGGTCCGACATTTGCTAAAAAACATCTTTCAAAATACTTAGTGGAGCTGCTGATACTCTGGAGTCTGCAGAGTCTGATGCATCAGAGTTTTATTGGAGTCAACACACCAACAAAACAACAAGTGTGGTCCCGGGACCAGAATAACTCGTCTGCATCCCCGTTATATATTGTATAGGAGCTCCTCCTTTCATCACACCACCCACTGCTTTTTTCAACATAGACACTTTTGACGAATCAGAACCAATATTAAAATTCTTGACAAGTGGTGATGTTTTTTATTCCCAAATTTAGGACTGGATCAAATGTTTTTATTTTCTCATACAGTTGAACTCTCTGTGAACTCCATCCTAACTTACTGTGGTTTCTGTGGTGCTCCCATACTTAACACAGCCCACTAGATAAATACTAATCTAATATAGATTAGTTTACTTATTTTTAAATTTTATGTCATTACTCAACATATTTTTCCACTACAAACACACAGACTATACCTGTCTGACGGGAGTCAGCTGAGCCGCTACTGGCCGGTTCCGACCAGGTAGGAGACACTCTGCAATACTGAGGGACCAGAAACACAATACACCTCATCAGTGCTGTCCAACCATCACCTGCACACACCTGAGCTCTCCTGCAGCAGGTGAGCCAATAACAACAACAGTGAACATCGCACTTGTTGATGCGCCACCTCCACTCTGACACCTGGGTCGGGACCGAAGTTCAGCCCAGATTCGGGTTTAAACCTGCAGACCATCATTATTCTCATGTTTGATATTTAGGAGCTAAAATAAAAACTATTACCTAGTCTTAATCTTTACATTTTAGATTTGATGGTGTGATGTAAACATTAGTGTTACTAAACTACAAAACAGTTTTACCTGGTGGTTCCTACCTGTAGCAGCAGTTGTAGGCGGGGAACACTCCAGTCTCTCAGGTGGTACAGGCAATCTCTGGGGTGGTGGGCGTGGAGACCTTTAGTTCCACAGTCAGCAGAGAAACCACAGGCCTGAGGATGTTAAAGAAACCTGTAATGTTTGAAACCGCCCAGACCCAAACCATCCACATTTATAAAGGTGTACAGTATAGACTCTCTCTCTATCTCCCCCTGGTGACTGACTGCAATATAGACTCTCTCTCTATCTCCCCCTGGTGACTGACTGCAGTATAGACTCTCTCTCTATCTCCCCCTGGTGGCTGACTGCAGTATAGACTCTCTCTCTATCTCCCCCTGGTGGCTGACTGCAGTATAGACTCTCTCTCTATCTCCCCCTGGCGGCTGACTGCAGTATAGACTCTCTCTCTATCTCCCCCTGGTGGCTGACTGCAATATAGACTCTCTCTCTCTATCTCCCCCTGGTGGCTGACTGCAGTATAGACTCTCTCTCTATCTCCCCTGGCGGCTGACTGGAGTATAGACTCTCTCTCTCTCTATCTCCCCCTGGCGGCTGACTGCAGTATAGACTCTCTCTCTCTATCTCCCCCTGGTGACTGACTGCAGTATAGACTCTCTCTATCTCCCCTGGCGGCTGACTGCAGTATAGACTCTCTCTATCTCCCCCTGGCGGCTGACTGCAGTATAGACTCTCTCTCTATCTCCCCTGGTGGCTGACTGCAGTATAGACTCTCTCTCTATCTCCCCCTGGTGACTGACTGCAGTATAGACTCTCTCTCTATCTCCCCCTGGTGACTGACTGCAGTATAGACTCTCTCTCTATCTCCCCCTGGCGACTGACTGCAGTATAGCTCATAAAGCTGCCTCCATGTTTGCAGACGGTACAAACTAGAAGATGGTTTCTGTCATTTAAGTCGTTCTTATCTCGCTGACTCTGGCTCCAAGTGGCCATATCTGGACATTCTGACTTCATTTCTGTACAGTGGGAGGAAGTGGAGATGGATTTATATGTGGATGGTCTGGACAAAGACCAGAGAGCAGTGGACTCACAGATCCAGGGGTGAAGGTCTGACTGCAGCCTCCACAGAACTGGTGCTGACACTGACTGCAGGTGAAGTGGAGACAGCCTCCCTTAGACAGACTGAACACACACTGACACCGGGGACACTCTGAGGACACAAACACAGCACGGTCTCAGTACTGGTAACGCTAACCCTAACCCTTCAGGTCCTGGGGTTAGGGGGACTCAGTTCAGGTCCTGGTTGTAGTGTTCGTACCAATGCTGTTGTAGCTGAGCAGGGTGGAGGTGCTGTTGTGGTCTGGCTGATTCTGTTGCTGCCAGACTCTGAACTGGTCACAGGAGAGTCCCTGATGTTGAGGGGACCACTACAGACACACACAGGTCTATGTTACTGACAGTGTCTTCCATAGATCCTGATTTTATTTACTTATCCCCAAAGAGTGACGGACAGTCGGCATGAGTCCGTCTGTGTCAAACACTTTATCACAAGTCAGTTACTGAGTGTGTGTCTTACAGGTGATCTGCACTGGCAGCAGGTACTCTTCTTACAGCTGGGACAGTCCATCCTCAACCTGTCAGCTTCATGCAGCACACCGAACGAACACTGAAACAAACACACAGGTGACAGGTGTACTAAGCAAGCCCACCGGCCCTATATATACACTTTATATAGTGTGTAGTGTATATATATGTAAATAAATATATCTACCGATCAGCAGTAACACTGTGAGCACTGGACTCCCTGACTGGTCCCAGACCAACAGACTACTCTGCACTGTGTGTTCTGACCCCTTTCTATCAGAACCAGCATTAATTGTTTCAGCAGTTTGATCTCCAGTAGCTCGTCTGTTGGATCGGACCACACGGGCCAGCCTTCACTGACCCTGTCTCTGGTTCTGTTCCTTCCTTGGACCACTTTTGATAGGTACTGACCTCTGCAGACCGGGAACACCCCACAAGGTTTAGGATCGTCCATCACAATGTGGTTCTTGTCAAATTGGATCAGATCCTCACGCTGCCCATTTTTCCAGCTTCTAACACATCAACTCTGTTCTCTGCCTGATCACTCCCCCCCCCCACTGACAGGAGCCCTGATACCCAGATAATCAGTGTTACTGGCAGTGCTCACTGTGTTAGGGCTGATCAATGGATATACATTATAATACACTATATATATATATATATATATATATATATATATTATGATACACTACAATAATAAATAAATGACAGAGTGGAGCTGCCCCTGTTACACATTAGAGAATGCAGGTTTAAGACACTGATATAAACTGTATGGTCTAGTCTCTGAGGTCCTGGTCTTGCTCCTTACATGAGCACACCAGCGGAAGTTTGGCATCTCCTGCAGAGCTCGGTCTCTGAGTTTCCTCTGGAACAGTTCATGGATCTGAGGAGGCAGGTAGTGACGGATCTGCACACAAACAGACAAACAACAGACTGTCAGAATACAGATTAATGTTGTTGGTGATTTATTTTATATTTGATCACATATTGATAATCAATTTAATCAATAAGCCCCAACAGGCCCTGGTTTACAGTTAACCACATCTGTTATTATTATCAGATGTAAGTTTAGTCATCGTATTATATATACATATTATTATTATATTATTATAAATATAGTTCAGTCATCATATTATATACACATATTATTATTTTATTATTATAAATATTATTAATATTATCATTATATACTGTTATTATTATATACTGTTATTAACAATAACACTACCATCATGTCATCAGTACTATTACCACTATCTTGCAACTACAACTCTTTGCACCTTACCTACCTATTTATCTTTTTTATCTTTTCTAAGTATTTTATTCTATTGTTGTATTTTATTGTATTTTAATGTACCTGGCTGCTATGACAACCCAATTTTCCTCTGGGGATTAATAAAGTCTATCTATCTAAAGGATTAGCTACCAACGAATGCAGTCTGAAACGGTTTATTTTGCAATATCTGGTCCAGGCTCAGTCCTGGAGTAAGCAACAGCTAACGGCTAACAGTTACTGTGTATCATCCCATCATGCTGTAAAAGTTAGAATTGTTATATAAATGTTTATAATTATATAATTAATGTCATAATTATTATTATTATTACTGGGCTGGGGTTCAGTCAGTTGTGGGTAGAATGAGGACTGGACCCTGCAGGACTCTGGTCTGAGATGAAAAAAACTTGTTTTAAAATGTTGACCCCTCACCTGTGTGTCCAGGTGACCTTTGACCCCTCACCTGTGTGTCCAGCAAGTTGAAGTAATCCATGGACTCCTCCATTCCTCCCTGACCTCTGACCTCAGGTCTGCCACACTGAGGACAGACCAGCTGATCAATGCTCTTCTCTTTAATAGCCGCTGAGAAAAACGTCTTAAAACATGTCTGACACAGGAAGCAGGAGCAGTGAGTCATTGTGATGATCTACAGGAAATACAAACAGAGAAGAAGAATCTGAATGATGTACAGGAAATACAGACAGAGAAGAAGAAGGCTCTCTGATTGGCTGATGATGAGGTCTCACCTTGCTGAAAGAGACCTGGTCCTGGCAGATGGGACAGCTGTGGGTCAGGAACTTGAGGGCTGATGGGAAATCTCGGTTAAGTTGGACTGCCTCCATGACATCACCAGGGCTGAAGCTCTGCCCCTCCAGGGTCATCAGAGACAGATAGATGGCCGCCCGGTCCCGAGAAAGACCGGAAGCCATCTGAAAGAGGAAAAAGAGACTAAGACCAACTAAGACCACCTGAGACCATTAGAGACAACCTTAGACTCAGCAGTAATTCTCACCTTGATGAGGTCCAGTCCAGCTGCTGGTTCTGACTGAAGTTTCTCAGTACCAAGGAATTTTTGGGGTCCAGCTGCTGGATCTGAACCCGGAACCAGGACCACAGAACCTGCTGTGTGTTTCTGTACCAGGGAATGTCCCTGCTGGTCTCTGCTGGACTCTCTGTCCAACCTCAGGGCTCCCATCAGTGTGCTGACAGGGTCTACAGGGGGGATACCTGAGGACACAAGACCAGCTGGAGTAGCACCACAGTACTTCTACACTACTTCTCTGTACTACTGTGGTACTCCTGTACTGTAATTGTACTGTAATAGTACTGTAATAATACTGTAAAAGTAGTGTAATAATACTGTAATAATACTGTTACAATACTGTAATAATACTGTAAAAGTAGTGTAATAATACTGTAATAATACTGTTACAATACTGTAATAATACTGTAAAAGTAGTGTAATAATACTGTAATAATACTGTAAAAGTAGTGTAATAATACTGTAATAATACTGTTACAATACTGTAATAATACTGTTACAATACTGTAATAATACTGTAAAAGTAGTGTAATAATACTGTAATAATACTGTTACAATACTGTAATAATACTGTAAAAGTAGTGTAATAATACTGTAATAATACTGTTACAATACTGTAATAATACTGTAAAAGTAGTGTAATAATACTGTAATAATACTGTTACAATACTGTAATAATACTGTAAAAGTAGTGTAATAATACTGTAATAATGCTGTTACAATACTGTAATAATGCTGTTACAATACTGTAATAATACTGTTACAATACTGTAAAAATACTGTAAAAGTAGTGTAATAATACTGTAAAAGTAGTGTAATAATACTGTTACAATACTGTAATAATACTGTAAAAGTAGTGTAATAATACTGTAATAATACTGTTACAATACTGTAATAATACTGTAAAAGTAGTGTAATAATACTGTAATAATACTGTTACAATACTGTAATAATACTGTAAAAGTAGTGTAATAATACTGTAATAATACTGTAAAAGTAGTGTAATAATACTGTAATAATACTGTTACAATACTGTAATAATACTGTAAAAGAAGTGTAATAATACTGTAATAATGCTGTTACAATACTGTAATAATGCTGTTACAATACTGTAATAATGCTGTTACAATACTGTAATAATGCTGTTACAATACTGTAATAATACTGTAAAAGAAGTGTAATAATACTGTAATAATGCTGTTACAATACTGTAATAATGCTGTTACAATACTGTAATAATGCTGTTACAATACTGTAAAAATACTGTAATAATGCTGTTACAATACTGTAATAATAGTGTAATAATACTGTTACAATACTGTAATAATACTGTAAAAGTAGTGTAATAATACTGTAATAATACTGTTACAATACTGTAATAATACTGTAAAAGTAGTGTAATAATACTGTAAAAGTAGTGTAATACTGTAATAGTACTGTTACAATACTGTAATAATACTGTAATAGTACTGTAATAGTAGCGTAATAACACTGTAATAGTACTGTAATAATACTGTAATAGTACTGTAATAGTAGCGTAATAATAGTGTAATAGTACTGTTACAATACTGTAATTGTACTGTAATAATACTGTAATTGTACTGTAATAATACTGTAATTGTACTGTAATAATACTGTAATTGTACTGTAATAATACTGTAATAATACAATAATACTGTGAGTCAGACGTCATTAATGTGAGCTCAGCCGTCTCACCTGAGGAGGAGGAGGAAGTGGTAAGGAAGGGGTTGTAGGAGAGTGAAGATGAAGGAGGAGGAGCACTGAAGTCGATCCCCACCAGTTCCTCAGTGTACGACCTCCCCACCCTTTGCTCCCATTGGCTGGCTGCAACACAAGGGGAGGGGCATCATCAGTTTACAGACAAACATTCTGACCTTCTTCACAGCAGCATCTGAGCTGTAACAGTCAGGCAAACTCACTCAATGATTGAGGCTCAGTTCCATTTAGTGTATCAGCACCCAACTGAATGGAACTCAAACTTAATGGCTTTATCCGACTGTTTAATGTCACAACTGCTGTGAAACAGGTCTATTGTTCTGCTCCTTTATGCTGCATGTCACATGTTTCTAGGTGCACTCGCCAAAGTAATTCTCGGCCCCCCAGAGTGTGCTCTGACCTTCCTGCAAAGCAGATCAATTGGCTTCAATCTATTGTTGTTCTGATTAGAATATCTGATCACCTGGTCGCATGCAGCTCCACAGGTGCATCCACTGTTTGCCCAACGCGCTGTAACAGAGTACTTCTGAAGATGCGGCACATTCAGCATGCTAATGAGCTCTCATTTAGTGCTGCTGAACACATGATCATCACTGACCAACAGGAAGTTTACCTTTCTGTCCAGCCAGGTGGGAGGAGGAGGAGGAGGAGGAGGAGGAGGGCTGCTGGATGCTGCAGGAGGAAAAAATGCAAGTATAATAACTCTTCAGTTATTGATTATTACTAAAAATCCCTGATAGGATGAAAAGGATAGGATGAAGAGAGCACACTCTGACCTTCCTCCAGGAGGCGGGGCATGTACTCCAGACCTGGCGTAAAGGGGCGTGTCCTTCTGGAAGACCCTCCTTATCTCTGACACAAGCAGTGATAGGTTGGACACGCCCTGACAGGAAGTGACACGGAATTATGGTTATTATTATTATTGTTGATATTGTACTACATTTCTATGGTAGTCAGAGCTAACAGAGCTAACAGGGCCAGAACCTGTGGCCTGTCAGACTGGGTGCTGGTCCATAGACTGCTGGACCAGAACCAGATACCTTACTGAGCATGCTCAGTGGGTCTTACATGAGTCCAGGTTTTCAGTGAGTCTAGGCTGATGTTGCCGGAGGCGTCCACGCAGGGACAGGACGGGTTGATCACCATGGAGACAGATGGACAGACGTAACAGCGAGGGCGGGACACCGGGTGGGTCTCATGAAGCCAGATGCACACTGGGATATTATACTCACTTCCTGTAAAGACACAGGACATCAGAGAGTCAACACTGTATCTTTATGGATTATTGATCAGTATACACTGTATCTTTATGGATTATTGATCAGTATACACTGTATCTTTATGGATTATTGATCAGTATACACGTTTTTTGTATACACTGTATCTTTATGGATTATTGATCAGTATACACTGTATCTTTATTGATTATTGATCAGTATACACTGTATCTTTATGGATTATTGATCAGTATACACTGTATCTTTATTGATTATTGATCAGTATACACTGTATCTTTATTGATTATTGATCAGTATACACTGTATCTTTATTGATTATTGATCAGTATACACTGTATCTTTATGGATGATATTGATCCTGTATTGACAGTAGGGCTGGGTATTGTTAAGAACCTCACAATTCGATTCGATATCAATTTCGATTCGATATTGATTTAAATGCTTCGATATCGATCCAATAATAAGTAAATTACAGCGTCGGGGCGGCGACTTCCGTCACGTGTTTGTGTGTTGGTATGGCGTATCGTGGTTCCAGTGTGTATACCATCTTCTTAAAACCCCCGTTTCCCCCGACACTGTACGGCCGTAGCTCCGTACATATGAAGACGGCCACAGACTCCGTTATCTTCTGTGTGCGGCAGTTTGCAAAGGAAGGATCTGTGGAGTTGTCTGTTTTGAATCCACAGGTTAAGCCGCGGGTTGCTGCAGATCGTCTGCATGGTGTTACTGTAGTATTTTAGTAGTGCCTGGCACAGCTTACACACTACCTTACTTCTGTTTCCTGTTCCGGGTTTACACTGGAAAATAAAATGACTCCAAACGTCTGCTGTTAAAGTTGAAGGTTTATCACTGCTGCTACCTGCTTCAGTTGCTATGTTGTTGTTGTGTGGTCGAGGCAAATCACACAAAGGTGTTGCTGACTGCGCCCCCACTGGCCAGGGGCTTGAATTGATTCAGAGGATTTAATGAATCAATATTGAATTGGGAAAAAATATATTGCAATGCATTGATGAATCGATATTTTTACCCACCCCTAATTGACAGTCAGACTGTGGACATATGACGGCCTTTAGCTCGTGTTTCTAGAGTTACGTGTTGTTACGAACACGTTAGGAATTGTTAAAATGTGATATTTCTTAAAGGGAGTTTGGTGCAGGGAGCTTTTAGTTGGATTCAAACTGCTGATATGGATCATTGTTAACGTTTAGTCTCCACTACAGAAACACTAGCTAACTGCTAAAGGGTGATCAGGTTGATTGATGCTTTAATAATGGGAGTATTGATTAGTGATCAGGCTGTTATTACTGCTGTTATTAACATTGTTATTAATGCTAATATTAATGAGTCCTGATGAGTCTGGAGAGCAGACAGACTCTGATCTTGTAGTGTGTGACCCCCTGTTCATTAAAACCACAATGACGTCCAGACTCCAGATCACAGACAGGACATAGTGTGAACAGAGATCTGATCACTTCCTGTAGTGTGAACATGGGTTAAACTGTATATTTGATCTTTATATATATATAGATAGTCATATATATATGTATATATTGTTCTTAATATATGTTGTTTGTATATCTGGAGTTTGGACAGTGAGAACAGTCCCACCTTCATAGATCACAGGAACAGTCCCAGCCAAGTACACCAGCCTCTTCTTCTCTTTGTTTGGAAAACCTGTCAGAGGAAAAAAACACCTTCATGTCAGCGTTATTTATCATTAATCATCAATAATGCAATCTCTCTAATGGCCAGCAGGGAGCAGAATAATATCTGATCATTAGTGCTGGTATGAATGCAGATGTATTCAGTAATCACTCAATGGGACACTAATATTCTTCTATACTGCGCAGGACCCCTCTTTTATTGTGAAAGACACACAGGAAGTTTGACTACTAAATGAATGAAAGTAAACAACAACATAAACTTTATAAACAAGAAGAATCAATAGAAACATTAGATATTATATAATCAATACTTAATTAATCAAAACAATTATCAGTAGAAAAGAGTCAATATATCAATCAATAATCGATACATTAATATATTTAATACTTACAGTAGAAATCACAACAATAATAGAGTCTAGGGATGCACCGATCCACATTTTTTCACTTCCGATCCGATCCCGATACCTGAATTTGGATACCGGCCGATACCGATACTATTCCGATACCAGAGCTCTGTTTTCTTTAATATTATTATTATCATTATTGTTGATTTTATATGAGATAATATGAATAAACTCCTCAACAGGCAGTATGATATGTACGTATGTATGCATGTATGTCCCAAAAGGAAACTTGAGTTAAGTATAAGGTCAGAAAAGGAAGTCAGAAAAACAGGAAATCCTGTTAACAGGAAAAATCCCATTCTGAAAACAAATATGCAACTGTAAGGGTTTCAAACTGATTGTCATGTCAGTATTTATTAAATTCCCCAAATGTCAAATATTTCAGTCTTGAAATATAAGAAAAGTGCAATAAGTGTAAACATCTCCAGAAGTGATTCCTGACAGCTCGCCTAAAAAATCCTCGTGCTGTTTCGTGTGGAGCTTTTTTAAATGTTTGATTGCGTTCGTAGTGTTGTACGACACGAGGGAGCTTCCACGTCTCTGAATTACGGCTTTGCAAACATTGCATTTTGCTGTCTTGCTCTGCGGTGTTTCCAGTGTAAAGTATTTCCACACAGCGGACATGTTGGCTATCCACAATGCTGCTCAATGCTATCCTGCTAGCTGGCTGCAAACTGCTGAATGGATTTCCTGAGTGGGAGCGTGTCTCATAACTCTGTGTCTCATTGAGCCGCACCTCCGTTCAGGAAATCCATTCCACAGTTTGCAGCCAGCTAGCAGACTGGCCGGCAGGAATCACCTGTGGAGTCAGTCAGCAGACAACGTTAACGCTCATGGCTCATTGATATCGGAAATCTGCGCAGGTTGGATCGGGAAATTCCGATACGTGAATTACACTGGTATCGGTCCCGATACCGATACGGGATCGGATCCATCCCTAATAGAATCAATAGATCAATCAATAATCAATATATTAATATCTTTAATACTTACAGTAGAAATCGACGTAGAGACGAAGATCAGAGAAAAGAGAACGAACCTTCTGAAGATCAGACAGAGTCTCTGCTGGATAACTGTACTGACACTGAGGAAGAGGAGGAGGAGGGAGAGGAGGAGGGAGAGGAGGAGGAGGAGGGAGAGGAAGAGGAGGGAGAGGAAGAGGGAGAGGAGGAGGGAGAGGAAGAGGAGGGAGAGGAGGAGGGAGAGTAGAGGGAGAGTAGAGGGAGAGGAGGGAGAGGAGGAGGGAGAGGAGGGAGAGGAGGAGGGAGAGGAGGAGGGAGAGGAGGGAGAGTAGAGGGAGAGGAGGAGGGAGAGGAGGGAGAGGAAGAGGAGGGAGAGGAGGAGGGAGAGGAGGGAGAGGAGGGAGGGGAGGGGGAGAGGAGGAGGGAGAGGAAGAGGAGGGAGAGGAGGGAGAGGAGGGAGAGTAGAGGGAGAGGGAGGATGGAGAGTAGAGGGAGAGGATGAAGAGTAGAGGGAGAGGAGGGAGAGGAGGAGGGAGAGGAGGGAGAGGGAGAGGAAGAGGAGGGAGAGTAGAGGGAGAGGATGAAGAGTAGAGGGAGAGGAGGGAGAGGAGGAGGGAGAGTAGAGGGAGGAGGGGAGAGGATGAAGAGTAGAGGGAGAGGGAGAGGAAGAGGAGGGAGAGGAGGAGGGAGAGGATGAAGAGTAGAGGGAGAGGGAGAGGAGGAGGATGAAGAGGAGGATGAAGAGGAGGATGAAGAGGAGGAAGAGGAGGAGGATGAAGAGGATGAAGAGGAGGATGAGGAGGAGGATGAAGAGGAGGATGAAGAGTAGAGGAAGAGGATGAAGAGTAGAGGGAGAGGATGAAGAGGAGGATGAAGAGGATGAAGAGGAGGGAGAGGGAGGGAGAGGAGGAGGATGAAGAGGAGGATGAAGAGGAGATATTGAGGATTAGTTCTTCCTGTTTTTAGCATGTAGCTAACTAAGCTAACTCTTGTGAATGGTTCTTCCCGTTAGCCGCTAGCCGGTTAGCCGTTAGCAGCAGCTGTTTGTGAACTAATAAAGTTTGGTTTTGAATTGAATGAAAAGGTTAAAGTTGACCTCTGACCTCCGTGAGAGTCCGCAGCTCCTCCTCGGCGACAACCCGCGGCATTTTACCCACAACTCCCCGCACTGACTCCGGTTATCCACATGCTAACAGGCTAACAGGCTGCCGGTCACTTAGCTCACCCAAACACCACACACCCACATCCGCTTACGGATTTTCAAATTAAAAGCACATACATTAGTCTGTCGCCAAAACTGTTTTCAATAAGTTATTACATTTCATATTATTAGTGTTTTATTTCCTAAAAAGTTCATTTCACAACACAAATGTCACGTGTTCATTAGCCAAAAACAAGTAATTGATAATGTATCATTCAGTAATTAATCAATAATCCAGGATCATTGATAATAACCCATTATTATTGTGGTATCTTTAGGAAGAAATGAGAGGCGAGCAGGAAGCGACTGTGAGGCTTTATTGATCTCTGAATATAGATTGTGAATCAGATTATATTTACATTGAACTCAGGATGATTATTATTATTATTATTATTATTATTATTATTATTATTATTACACCGGTTTATTGTAGCAAACTCAAACTCCCATCAGCCTCTGAACAGGAAGTGACTGTCTCAGATGGGCGTGGCCCTCCACTCCTTGCCCTCGGTCAGAGCTCTGGGTTGGTGGACGAACACGCTGTAGCGGACGCCCTGATTGGCTGCCGCCCTGACAAAGCGGCTGTTTGCCGTCATGGTAACGGCTCTCAGTGAGTCTCCGGTGCCGAAGATCATGAGTGAGCGCTGGTTGATCTTGGCGCTGGGCGTGAGGCGTAGCGTGCGCTCCGATGGCCGGTCGTCCACCAGGTGGAGGCGAGCGAGCAGCTTCTGAGCGCGCTCCTTCTCGCCCGGCCCCCCCAGCGTGTCTAGGATGACCTGGAAGTCGTGGACGGCGGCGCGGCAGACGAACAGCTCCTTCCCCTGCATGAAGGCATCGAGCTGCGGCAGCACCTGTTGGCGGCGCTCCTGGGCCGCCTGCTCCGTCAGCACCGGCTCCCTAAAGGTGAAGTGACAGCGGCCGTGACTCAGCGATGACACATATGTGATGAGGGTGGTGATGTCGAGGTTAACACGCCGACACTCCTCCACCTGCACCTGAACAGGAAACGCCAGACTGGCAACCACGGTGCCGCGGTCGACTCGGGTCAACTCAGACTCCTCCTCGTCCTCCTCCTCCTCGTTACCTTCAGCTGGCGGCTTCTCCTCCTCCTCCTCCTCCTCCTCCTCCTCCTCCTCCTCAGCACTGACAGCGACGATGTCTCCACGGACGGAGATGCCCATGTCCCTGAGGCGGTCGGCCATGGGGCAGGAGACCCCGTTGTAGAAGGCGAAGACGATGTGGGGGTGTCGGTACTGGACGGGCTGCTGGCGGCTGGCTTCAAGGAAGTCTTCAGCCTGGCTGATGATGCTCTTGTCTCCATACTGGCCCCGCCCCTGCCAGATGTTGTGCAGAGCCTCTGCCTTCCGGCCCACCGCCTTCACCCAGGTGTGCCCCCCGTTGGCCACCACGTCCACCACCAGAGTCTGCCTGCCACCGGTGGCGTCCTGGTAGGTGAAGACGTGCAGCAGAGCGACCACGGCCTCCAGACTCTCGGCCGACTCCACGATGGCCGTGAGGTGAGTCAGGTTGGTGCTGTGCAGGTGAGACTCTTTGACCTGCAGCTCTCCGGCCTCCACCCGCCGCAGGAAGCGCAGCTCTGCTCGCAGTTTACCACAGAGCTTCTGGTGACCCTCCACGCCACGACAGAGCTGCTCTGCCCGCTGCAGCAACGCCTGGGCGGCGCCGATCCTCCGCTGCAACGTATCCTGAAGAGACATCACTGCTACATCCTACCTGATGACAGACAGACAGATGTTCCTGTTATTGTGTCCACTCAGTCTCTACACTGCACTCTACAGGCTGTTCTCTCCTCACAGAACACTGATCCGTAATCAATAAGGGAATTGAAAAGAATCTAAATTAGGGCTCCAGAGCGACCAACATTTTTAAGAGTGCGACTAATAATTGTTCTAGGTCGCACCGGTGCACCTGACGCTGCCCGGGTGAAAACATACATTTATTTTGCAAGCACATCATCTCTCTGTGTTCTCCTGTGAGCGAACTCACACACTCATGGTAGGATCATATCGGGTTCTAAACCAATAAGAGACAGAGCTCGGGCGGGTCTTTGCCTCTGATTGGCTGTGGTCCTGTTCACCGCGCTAAGTTGCGTGTTTAAAAATTGCCGAGCTCCGGTCCTTCTGCGACAGCATCAGACTCAGAACCAGAGGAGGAGACAACCGAGTCTGGGATAGAGCCCGGCTCCGAGACCAAATTAAAAAGGCCAAAATATATTCCTTCAGACAGGACTGGCTGAAACAAGTTCCCTGGCTGAGGTTCAACAAAGGACGTAACGTAACGCACTGCGTGTACTGTCAGGAGTGCG